CACACACACACACACACACACACACACACACACACACACACACACACAGTAATGTTTCTCCATTCTCTTCTTTCTTCTCATCAGCTACATCAACAAGCGCACAACGTATTTTGACCCTCGGCAGGCCTTCACTATAGAGGACCTGCAGGTGAAACCCAAACGCTACGACGGGAACAGCACGGCTCTGGAGATCCTGCATGCTCGAGATCTGTCTGACAGAGTGGTGCTGATCACCGGAGCAAACTCTGGCATCGGTGAGTCCATCACAGTCAGCATTATTACTGATCTACAGTAAAGACAGCGTGAGAGCGCTCCGTCAGCAACGCAACATAATCACTCTTTTTTTTAAACAAAGGCAATCTGAGCATAATCGGTTGGTTTACTGTATTACAGTGTGTGTCCAGTAGGTGGCACTACAGGATTATTTATGTGTTCTCACTGAAACAACAGTCAACATTAGCATTTCAATGATGGTTTAAATGGACATTCATCTAAAATACTTTAGAATCATTCATAAATGCTTTAGACTGATTAATCTAAAGAGTTATTAAACTCTTATTGACTCTTTGCATTACTGAACTCGTTTATTTATCATCCAGCATCTAAAGACATGAAATAATCCAACACTGTTATGAAAACGCTTCCTCACATCTGTGGAAATACAGACTTTCATCCGAACAGAAGCACATATTTGAACCAGTGTGTATTTATGAAATGAAGCACTGTTTCATTGGTGGATTTGAAATTGTGTCACTGTTGCTGATTCTGTAGTGTTGTGTATATATAGTGTATACTACTGTTCAGAAGCTTGGGGTCTGTAAGATTTTCATTTTAATTTTAAGAATTTATTCCTTTTATTCAGCAAGGATGTGTTAAATTGATCAAAAGTGACAGTAAAGATTTAATGTGACAAAATATTTCTATTTCAAATAAATGTTGTTGTTTTTAGCTTTCTGTCAATCAAAAATACAGCTGTTTTCATCATTGATAATAATAAGAAATGTTTTTTGAGAAGCAAATCAGCATATTAGTATGATTTCTGAAGACTGGAGTAATGATGCTGAAAATTCAGCTTTGTGTCATAGAAATAAATTACATTTAAACAATATTTTCACATAGAAAACAGCTATTTTAAATGATAAAAATCTGTATTATTTTGGTATTATTTATACACTTATAGTATGTATTAACATTTAGAATTTTAGATTTAGTAATTTTATTGTCATTGTTGTTAATTAGTTTTTGTTATTTTTTGCAGTTCTATTTAGCTTTATTTCTTTTAGTCTTAGTAATTATAATATTTAATCTCAACTTATTTGAATTAGCTGCCAAGGCAACATTTCTTTTCATTTGCTTTTTCATCTAATTTTTAATAGTTTTGTTTATTTTACAATTACAGCATTGATAATAATATTTCACCATATTTTTGTTTTACTGTATTTTTTGATCAAATCGATGCAGGCTGGTTAAGCATAATAGTCGTTTTTTATTTAGAAATTATTATTTTTTTTCTTTAAGTTTGAGTGTAGCCTTTTGAGCTCCCTCTATCATATTAAAACTTGTTTTACAGAATGTCTCCCATAATGCAGAAAATTAGACAAAGGTGTGCAGGTTATGTGTCTAAAAGTTAAATGTAACCCAGTCAAAAACAGACTAGTTAGACAATGTCAAAATAATATGAAAAGGGACAAAGCCATTCATATTGACATTTTTGAGTTTTGAGATTTTAATTTACAACCATCATGTCCAAAACTGTTATTTTAAAGTATAACACCTATCAGTTTGGCTGCATTGCTAACCTAACCTAACACTTCTTGCTTAAAATGTATGAAATATGTAAATATGAAGTATATAATATTGAAATATATTGCATAATTATATTATTTATTATAATTAAATAATAGTTAATTATTACAAATACTCTATAAGCTACAGATGCATCTTCTGATTAGTTTTGAGGGATTGTAGTGTCACATGATTGAACACTAGAGGCCAGAGAAGCTCTGTGTGTCACTCAGGAATCACTTTTGCAGGAATCCGGCCAAATTCAAGCATTCCTTCACACAATATGAAAGATAACAAGAAAAAGATGAACTATTTATATTACATTGCTGAATAGTGTAATATTACATAATAACCGTTATGTTGTATGACATACAGTAGATCATTTGATCAATATATTACAGTGATTTCACATATATTTTAAATGTTAGATCATGGCAGGAGGCCACATTTACAAATATACATTTATTATTTCATTTATTTTATTGAATTTGCTTTAAATAATTGTAGGTATTTTAACCAAGATAGCTTCTCCTTGTGGATTATTATGTTTGCTTGCACAAAAATGTCTCTGCCACAATTTTATAAGGCTTACTGTAGTTGTGTAAATACTTAAATACTATAGCTTTATTACCGTATTTAACATATTTAATCACCAAACAATAGTGGAACATGTAAGACACTTGTCCCATTCTTGTTTTAGTATTTATTCAATAATTTTAATTAGAGTTTCTAGTTAATATAATAAGTGTTTTGTCATTTACATTTTAAACCACGAAGCATGTTACTGTTTGAATAGCTGTGGCGGTAATATATGTCTAATAATAAAACCCATTATATGGTAATTGGAGTAGGAGGGGTTATTATGCTTTTATTAGACTGATACTCGTGCTGGATTTCATTAGACTGTCCACACAGAAACACGCTCGCAGTCGTCTCTCTACCAGTTTAATGGCGGTAATGGAAACAGATACTCTCTCTCTCTCTCTCTCTCTCTCTCTCTCTGTCTCTCTCTCGTTAGCGTGTTCTCCGGTTGTGGCGCGGTACACCTGCACCCATGCATTGATCCTGTGGTGCGTGTTTGACCCCGGCTGATGCCTCCCATTCATTCCCATTAGCGACTTGGGTGCTTTCCTTAATTCTCCTCTATTGAACCAACTAAGTTATTTACCGTCTCAAGCGCCGCTCACTTCACTCAAGCGCCCCGTCACAACACACCCGACAGCGTCTGACCTGAGACCAGGCTTCAGCGCAAATCTGCTGTTTCCACACCAAAACACTGGGTTTAGCAAGCTTGCTGCTTACATGTGCCACAACATAGTAATGTGTGTGTGTGTGTGTGTGTGTGTGTGTGTGTGTGTGTGTGTATATGTATATATGCACTTACATTTTTTATTTTAAATGTAGTAGTCAGGAAAGAAAATGTGTGAATTGTGTAAACTTTTTCTTTCTTTCTTTTTCTTTCTTTCTTTCTTTCTTTTGTTTTGTTGTTAGGTTTTTATTTTTTTTAATTGGTTTGCTTACAAAAACCTTATCAGTTTTTCAAATGTATTGTCTGTTTATTTTATTTATTTTTTATTATTATTGTGTGTGTGTGTATGTATATGTGTGTGTGTGTGTATAATATATGTATGTATGTATGTATGTATGTATGTATGTGTTCTTGATGGTAACAGTGCTACTGATACTTTCTGCTCCACTCTTACGTCTTGTTTAGACACCGTCTGCCCCTTGTCTTCCAGGCCTGCCCGTACCACCCCTTCTGCCCCTTGGATGTCTGATGTTCTCCGTGAACATCGTTCTAAGCTCAGGGCTGCTGAAAGGGTATGGCACAAATCCTACTGACCTTAATGTGTATCAGTCAGTCCTCTCTTCCTTCTCTGCTAATGTCTCCACTGCTAAAAGGACATACTATCATAATAAAAATAACAATTCGTCTAACTCTCACATGCTCTTTAAAGCATTTTCCTCCATCCTTTGTCCTCCTCCTCCCCCTCCTTCATCAACTCTAACAGCTGACGACTTTGCCACGTTCTTCAGTAATAAAATTAAAACCATCAGTGCACAATTTTCCACACCACAATCTGTCAAGCACATCTTACCAGCAAACATACACTATCTCAGCTTGTCTAACAGACATTGCTTGCTGGATGACGGACCATCACCTTCAACTCAACCTGGCTAAGATAGAACTGCTTGTGGTTCCATCAAACCTATCGTTTCATCACAATTTCACCATCCAGTTAGGCTCATCAACCATAACTCCTTCAAGAACAGCCAGAAACCTTGGAGTTGTGATTGATGATCAGCTGACTTTCTCAGACCACATTGCTAAAATTGCCCGGTACTGCAGATTTGCTTTATTCAACATCAGGAAGTTCAGGTCCTATCTTTCATAACATGCTTCACAACTCCTTGTTCAAGCTCTTGTTCTGTCCAGGCTGGACTATTGCAATGCTCTCTTGGCAGGTCTTCTAGCCAGTTCTATCAAACCTTTACAATTAATACAGAACATGGCAGTAAGATTAATTTTTAATGAGCCAAAAAGAATGCTCGTCACACCTTTGTTTATCAATTTGCACTGGCTACCAATAGCTGCTGGGCCCTATCGTACACCTGGCGCAATGCGGCGCCAGGCGTGACGCAAGTGTTTTTTGCTTGTTTCAGTCCGACGCAGTTATCATTTTCACGTCCTGTGCCACGTTGTTTAAATAGCAAATGCATTTGCGCCCATTTGTGCGCCCATTGGCGTGCTTGTCTGAAAACAGGGTGTGTTCAGGCGCATTGTTGGCGTGTTGCTATTTTGAGGCAACTGAAATAGACTGTGCCATTGACCAACTAAAACCTGTTCTAAAGA